GCACACACTCTGATATGTCCGGGCTTCAGTGAGCTGTCCATTCTGCTCCCATCTCCAGCACGATGGAGGCTAAATTGCAATAGGTGTCTGCAATTTAGCACCAATGTAACTTACCCAAGGCTTCCCATTTCCCCAGGCTCCAGCTAGTTTAGCTGTCAAGTGAAAGTAACGTATGGCACTCGACCTTGTCATCGTTCTTTTCCTACCTCTCCCCTGGGTCCTTGTGACCGCTCAAAATCAGATGCTGGAGACTGTCAGAAATACAAAGTTTGAGCTCCAGGATAGACCTGACCAGAAAGAAAAACCTGTTTTTAACTTCATCCGGTAAGAGACGTTTCTCTACCTACCCTCCAGCCTGGACTGGGTTTGGATTGGAGCTCTGTAACGAGTCCGTGCCTGCCATGCTGGGGTTAGGGTCCCTGACACACAGCTGCAGAAGGTGATTGCAACCACCCAGCACACATGAAATGGTTTGCTTTAGGAATTTTCTTTGAGCTTACCACCTGACCAAACAGTTGCTACCATCATCTGTGAAGCATTAACAGCCAGAAAATGACGCTGGAGCCGCCTGCCCCGTGTCAGTAGAGACTCTATCTTCTTTGAAGATTAAAGTGAGGACACTACACTCCCAATTCAAATAATTATGAGGCTCCTTTCCTTTCATTTACTTGAGTATTTCACTGTCACTTTTAACTAAAAAAACAAAGATGTGTTGAGAAATGGGCATATTTTCTCATGATTTTCTGGTGAATTATTTTCTCTATGTTATGAGAAAGTTAAAAAGTTTTAAAACGAAAGTGAAGCTAATTTTAGGAAGAAAAGGAGACATTATGGAACATGGGTCCATTTTTTTTTAAAAAAAAAGGAATTGTCAGGAATTTTAAAATAGGAAAGGATACACACATCACCCTTGTGTTTATATTATAAAGCAAGCAATTTAAAACATTCAACATGTATTTTCAGCAGTTTCCTTCTTTTTGATGTTGCATTACAACCAGAGAATGTTAATGGTTACCAAATTGCTTTTGGCCAAGTCGCTTAACCCTTAAGAAAAAGAATAAAGGGGGGAAAGAAGTGTTGCAGGATGTGATTGCGGCTTATGATAGCTGTGAACCCCCAGCCCTGAGCAGATGGTAGCAGAACTGCAGTAAGAGGTCACAGACAGCATTCCTCCACCTTGGGTTATGTACAATGCATGGCAATGAGCGATCATTTCCACGGCTCCTAGTAGACAGCCACCAGCTTTATTAAGGGAGAAGCGAGGTCACAGATGACATCCTGACTTGTCTTGAGCTCTTTAGACTCTTCCTCTGTGTGTCCCAGACTTTTTTCTTTTTAATCAGAGTTGGTCTTCTCAGAAACCAAGCATTTTGTCTCAAGATATCGGCTTTTCCCTATGCCACGGAAACAAGCAATGGAATATCCAGTGGTGTGCATGGAGAACGGATGACATGGAGCAGGGCTCGCCGCCCTGTCTCTAGCAGTGATCAGCTGTTCCCACCTACACTGAGCTGCTCCTGCTGAGTAATCTGAAGCTTGTGACGCACATTCCTGAGGAGCAGTGGTTCATTGCAGTTCCTTTGCAAGGAGTGGTATCTCAAAGCTCATATGATTCCATAACTAGAGGGAAGGTGATGTCATGTATGGTGGATGGTTTGTTTTCTTGCTTCTTTATAGAAAACATATGGCCATGTTTACATATGAGTAGAAAACAATAACACACTGCTATCAAGTTAGCAGCAGCTAATGGAATCATACATGAGCGGAAATCAAACATCTCTAACCTTGCCAGGATTCAAGTTTGCTGATGTCTGTACACATCCTGTTTTATTTGGGTTGAAGGGAAGTTTTATTGTTTTAGGCTTTGATTCCTAATTGGAAGGAAATGGTGTAGCAAGATGTTATTATTTTTGTTTTCACTCTTCTCTGTGTTTAATTAAATTACTTTGTTAGCAGAGATAATAAATTCTGAGTAGACTTTGTATTATGATTGTGTAAAAATTAAAACCTATTCATTTGTTTGACTGTACTATTTGTATCTCTGATTTTAAAGACTTGTGACTGGAAAATTGGAAGTGGCCATTTGGAGATGGGACACAAAGCAATGGAAGGCAGGGCTGGTTGTCCTCATACCACACACTTTTCCCCGTGACTAGCTAGGTAACCTGACTCAGCCTCAGAGGCTTTGTGCACTTGTATGAAAACTATACTAGCTTATCTTAGCAGCCCATGGGGTGAGCTGTAAAGTGTTTCACACAAAGCCTGGCTTAAAGGAAGTGCTGCAGACCCCACTTCCTGTCATCATAGTCATTGAACAGGATGCTTCACCCTGGTACCATCTTTGACAATCTGAGCTGCTCAATGCTAAAAAGAGAAAAACCAGTAAAACCAGAGATGCTGCTGTTTATCAAATGTCCTGTCTAGCTGAGCCCAAACTGCAGCTGCTCCAATCTCCATGAGCTTGGTGTAATTTACTACCCCATTTCATGGAAGAATAAACTGGGAGTTTACATCAAGTGCAAAAGGCACACAGCTAAGAATTGGTAAGCATGGGGATCCAACTCAGACTGGGTAATCCCAAAGCTTAGGCTCTTTGTCTGTCCTGCTCACAGCCAGTGGCCTCTCTAGAACCTCCTTTATTTGCAGTATGTTTGGAGTGCCCATCAATATTCTATCATTGCACAGTGATATGGCAAAATCCCGGAGATTTCTATTCTTTTGCAATTCAAGAAACTGAGAAATTGTTTGTTTCCCGGCTGCCCAGACTCCTGAAATAATCACACAGAAACTGTATTAATTAAATAACTGCTTGGCCTATTAGCTCTAGCTTCTTATTTGCTAACTCTTACATATTAATTTAACCCATTTATATTACTCTGTGTATTGCCACATGGCTGTGACTTACTGGCTAAAGTTTCAGCATCTGTCTCTGGCAGGACTACAGGGCTTTTCTCTGACTCTGCCTTCCTTCCTCCCAGCGTTCAGCTTAGTTTACCCTACCTACCTAAGTTTTGCCCTGCTGTAGGTCCAAAGCAGTTTCTTTATTCATTAATGGTAATCACAGCATACAGAGAGGAATCCCACATCAAGAAATCACCTAAGATATGTGTTAGAAGCGGTAAATTAAATTCATACAACCACTTTTACTTTGTTTAAATGACACTGCAAGTTCATACTCAAACTTAGGTAAAGTCTTATGTCTCATCCTGCAGACAGAGAAGGCAAGGCTCAAGGTGTGTTGATATGAGAGAGATGGAGTGGCTAGTCATTCTCCTTGGTAGTCAGGAATTTCAGTGCCATCTAAGGAATGAAATATAATGATCTCAAAGTCATGTCTATGTCTACCTCACCACACTTCTCTTTAGTGTCAGGTATGGACACTAACCTGCCAACTAACCCCACGTTTAACCTAAGCAACACATAGTTAAGAGTGCTTCACCTGCTTTTCTTGTTGAAAATACAGGATCTGTTTGCAACTTGGGAACCTTCATATACAAGAGTGCCCAATTCTATTTTTGTTTACAGGATGTATTAAGTTTTGCTTTTTTCCTTCCTGCAGTGTTTGGGTAGAGGTAGAACAGAGAGAAATATTAAGACTGCCAGATTGCATGTCTACCAGCTAACCTTGCAGCAGTATTCAGTTAGATGAGCCCTTAATATAGGGTATAAATGTAAATACGCTGCACATTAGTAATTCAAGCGATGGTACCATAAGGCAGCAGCCGCGAGCAAAGATAGCTGCATTTATTATGAGTACTGTGGACCTTTCGCTAAAAGTTAAATGAAGACACAGCAATGAGTAGGATCCTGCTTTGTTAATCTCATTTTTAAAAAATCAGATTGCTTATTTTAGAATTTTGTGAAATGTGTTATGATCACATCCACCCCTCCCACATCTTATCTCAGATTCACCGTGCCTGACTTAGTGTCTTCAGTTTGTCTCTGTCTAGGCTAATTTGTGCTACATCCTCCTGGGGGCTGTACTCTTAGAGAAAACCAATGGTTCCTCTTTCAGCAGCTAACAATTGCTGACCACCCCAAAGCTAGGGGTAGAATTTTGTGCCTACCTCCCATATCTGTGCTGAGATTTGGTCTGACTTGGGCTTGCACAAGTCTTGTATGCACTGTCACAACTGCTGTGAGTTCCTCTGTATGGCTGTCCTGCTATGTCCAGAAGACACTGTTTCCTTGTAGTCATTTTTCTACCCCTTCTTTGTTAATTACCCCTAAGTTTTGAGAGGTTGAGATGTGGTATATCCAGTTTAGGACTGAGGATTCTGAAATCTTCTATCCTCTGCTCCCAGCCTGCTGTTGCTCTCTATGTTAATCACTATCTAGTGCAAATAGATGCTTCTATGATGAGGAGTGAAAGATGCATCGATCTATAGGTATAACGATAAGTCATTAGATGTCAGTCTAATACTGTGCTATTTTAACAGTATAATAGTATAAGTTTCTTCCCTAGGAGCTATGATTTGTCTATTCATAGGTTCTTGGTCTGATATTGCATTAAGCATGGGTTTCATCTTCTAGAGAGGGACATAAATTCAATCAGAAAGTGGCTGGTTATTCTCAGGACATTGGGCCACTACTGCACCTGTGGGCATTCTTGTTAGAACAACTATTTTTTATCTCACTAGGTACATAGTTGGGTAAGATTAATGGCTACTTTTCTCCTCCTGCAGAGTACATAACACATTCTAGTAAGTAGTGCCTTAAGCAAAGTGTTTCAAAAACTATTATTGCTATAAAAATAATTGGCCAATTTTATTGCATTGCCTCTATTACTTTTTTTGTAACTTTCCAGTTAATTCTTAGGTGTGACAAATCCCAAGATGGGAAACTGTACCTCTTAGAGCCATCAGGAAATACACAGACTAGATATTGATCAGGGAAGAACAATATTGTTTTGACAAGAATCTGTGTGGAGGTGAATTATTTGATAGCATAGAAGCAGTAGATGGGAATCAAACACTTATCTCTTTTTATATTTTGTTTAGGTCAATGTTTCCAACTACAGTCTGGTGATGGAGTCTGACTCAGGAACCTTCTTACCCATGGGGCTGCAGTTCACCGGCAGTGACAAGGCCAGGGCTATCATGAAGGAGGTCATGAGCCTGCTGCAGCCCCTCAACGTCACCAATGTCTTTAGTGATGGAGAAGGAACAGATATTAACTTCTGGATCCAAGCCGGAGTGCCTGGTAAGACCAAAAGTGAAGATGATGTTCTTTTACACTGTCACCAACTTAAAATAGAGTCTCTGTTTCAGTGTCACGGTGGTTACTGGCAGACCATGCCTGGAAATCCTATGTCTTTGCCACTAAGGTAGACTCAGAGTATTTTTGCAATTGGAATAATGGTGCATTTGCTTCCCCATCTGCAGTGAACGATTGTGGAATTCAGCCTATGAATCTTCTGTTGATTTTGATTTGTTTTTAAGGATAGATTATGTGTTTTCACAACCAAACTTTGAGAACTAAAGTAGAAAACAGTCACTGCTTCCAACTCCCTTCTGTCTTAGCCCCTACTAGGGAACCTTCACTCACTCTAATGAAGCTATACCTGAACTTTTACAATGAGAGATTCATTCTTTGAGGATGGAATGCTTCCTTATTTCTGTGTTGGTCCTTGATCCTTCTGATAAGAGTTTGGAGATAGGGCTGACAAAATGGCTCGGTAGAAAAAAATCACCTGCCATTAGGATGAGTTCGATTCCCAGGACCCAGGTGGTGTAAGGAGAGAAGCACCTCTCATAGGTTATCCTCTGACTTTGACAGGAACACCGTGGCAAGCGCATGACCACACACACACACACACACACACACACAACACAGGAACACCGTGGCAAGCGCATGACCAC